ACTTATCTTTTTTTAAAGGTATCATTTTTCAATTTTAATTTTATTTTTAACTCTCTATTTATATTTATTGCAGTATAAGATTTTATTTTTTTATTAATTTTAAAGCAGTTATCTTAATCACGATTAATTCTTTATTATTTATTTAGATAGATTTATATAGAAAATTTTATATTTAAAGTTTATATTTTTTCATTACGGGCTTTATTTTCATGTTGCAAAAATAGTCAAGCAATTGAATTAGAGAAATGTCCATCAAAACAGCACGTCAATAAAAGATCATGAACATAATCCAAGGTCAATGAAGTCAGTCAGTTGTCTTGATAGTGAAGTACAACTAAATAAAAGTGTCATTATACCAAACAACTATAGTTATTGGTCTCAGTACTATAAATAGTTATATATATATATAGTTAATGGTGTCAGTAAATATATTAGTTATATCAGTAAATATATATAGTTAATGGTGTCAGTATACCAAATAACTATAGATATTTGGTATACTGACACCTTTATTTGGTCTTAAAACCTACTAGTTTGGTAGTGCATTAAATTTGAAAAGTTGTAACTTGAATATGTTGGAATGGGATTATGCTATCATAAACGGATAAATGAAATTTTGATCGACCAAGTCGACAATAAATTTTAACAAATTTCCTATGTCTCTTAAAGTATGTAAATATAATAATTAAAATAAAAATCAGATATTTTAAGCCAAATGAGTGGTTAAAAAACTAGTTTTGGATAATATAACAATGATATAAGTCGTGATATAAAAACGATGTACAAAGCGGGAAAAAAAAATTGTTAAATTTTTGTTTTCTTTTCGGTCCGAACTAAAAGAAACTTTGAGACCATATCTAAATCAAAATTTCTGAAAAGTAATGTTTTCTCTACGGTCCAAATTAAATGTAATTTTGAGACCATAACAAAATAACAAGGAAAAACATACATCATCAAAACATGTCGAAAGCCGCTAGTTTAAAAGAATCGCTCTTATATTTTTATATATATACATATGAATCCTTAAATGAAAAACTCAATCACACATGATAAACACATATAGATAACATACAAATCTATATCTAAATTTCAACCACATATTATCTATTAAAAGAAAATATTATCTAAATAAGGATGAGTTCAAACAAAGATGAAAGTTTTTGAAAAAACAAAAAGCATGCAAACGATTTAATCAGGCTGTATGTGCATAAAGGTGTAAAGGTGTAATGTGTAAGTCTGTGCTGTTTATGTCGTTCAGTAGAGTCTTGTATTGTTATTAACCAGCGTAAAAGAATCGTCTCTGAACGAAACCATGCCAGCTCAACCATACTCCAGAAAACCATGATGGATCAAACACCTATGCATGGATTTATAACTGACTTATGACTAAAAAGCTAGCCCAAGCATCTTCCACAGACAAACATCCTCTTTCGCGGTGACAGTAATTGCGATTAGGAAAATGACCGATTAGGAAAATGACCGTAACACTAATCCTTACGGGCTAGGCCCAATATTATTTAAAAACTTTGGCATATAAAATTTGCCGAATGGTCACACACGAGCAGTGAACGCCTGAGCGAAAAAATGAAGTACATTAGAATAAAGGAGAATTATTTATCAGACAAAGCATATTTTGACGGTTGTCAAGACAAAAATAAAGATTAATAGAGGAATATTTAAAAATAAATAAGACAGGCTATACACTCAAAATAGTACACAACAATAATAACAATAAAAAAAAATTAATAAAAAAGTTGTTTTATAAAGACGAATATGAACGAAGATAAACAACAAATACATCACCACACAAAAACTTATAAAACAAAAAACCGATCACAAAATAAAAAATATGCTAACAACAATGAAAGGCCTAATAATGGAAAAAAAACATTAATGCTAATGTGTAAACATATATTATGTAGTGATTAAGTAATAGACATTCGCGACAAGTAATAGACAGTCGCGTCTATTATTACTGGCGTTTCGATGAGGATCAGGATTTATAACTAGTTTATCTCGTCAGACAAACGTTATCGCATATGCTTTACCCCGCGACTTACGCCTGTTTTATAGTGCAGTAAAAAAGGACTCACTACAAATAGCCAAAATCAAACCAACCCCAAAAATCAAAAATAATATTTTAAACCCTAGGCATAATCTAAAATTTTATGCTTTTTTATACTCAAATTATATGCAAACTTGCAAAAAAATGTTATTTTTATTACAAAATACTGTTATACACTAACTTTGCAATGAAAGACATTCTTCACGTTACTAGATGTTATTGCTTAATATTGTCGAACGCGTGGACTAATGTTTATGCTAAAAAAATTGTTATACTTGCAATTTGACATGTGGCAGTTACAAAGGTGTTAGGTTATATAACTCAACTCAAGTTGAAGCAAAATTTTCTATGTTGATTCAAAGATATAACTCAAAGATATAACTTCTAGTTTAGAAACGACAGCGATAACAATGCTAAAAGATTAAAAGAAAAATTTTCTGAAATTTACTTTTTTAATTGCTTTGAACATACGAAAAATATAAATTAGTAGATATAATCCCAACTAACTGGCGACCGCTGGGTAATGCATAAATTTAACTTGTTACATACAACCAGGGGCGAATTAAGACCATTAAAGTAAGAAGGTGCAATTTTTTAGAATTTTTTAGCCACTCTAGAAATCATTACTTTTTAGTCAACTTTTTTTAATATTATAATTTTTTGGGTGTTATTGGCAAAGTTTTTTATTTTTCAATGCTTCTGCAAATTGAAATTTTATTATAAAGGTCATGCTAGATTCACAACTGCTTTCACTCTGTAAAACACGATGGGTTGAGCTTTGTTGACGTCTAATGTTTAAGCTCCATAAACAATTGATGCACTGGAAAATACATCTAAAAGAAATGAGAGAATATTGTCATCAAAAGCAAGAGTTTTATTACCAGCAATTAACGAAAGTGATTTTATTGTGTCTTTTGGCTGTGTTGTACATGTGTTTTCTCTAACAAATGGGCTCAGTTGTAAAAAAAAAAAAATTAGGTTTACATTAAGTAAAATAACGCAATAAAGATCGCTTAATCATTTTAAAACAAAATTTGGGCTCAGTAAAAAAAAAAAAATTAGGTTTACATTAAGTAAAATAACGCAATAAAGATCGCTTAATCATTTTAAAACAAAAAAGAGAAAAGTGCAAAGAAATGTTTAAGGAAATTTTTAGAACAGCAGAAAAAATAGTAATTAATAAAAATGGTAGTTTGACCGTCAATGTATACCTTCAAAATCAACGGAATATTATTACGAGCGATCAATTTTATATATATATATATATATATATATATATATATATATATATATATATATATATATATATATATATATATATATATATATATTATTATTTTTAATTTTATATGAGCGATTAATTAATTTATTGTTTTTTTTGTTTATTTATTTTTCTATCAAATTATCTCTTTTTGATGTGCTAATATTGGGCATAGACAAATTTTTCTAATGAAAATTTGCAACATTTTAAAATCTATTATTTGATGTCAAAAATATTATTACATCGAATCATAAAGATATTGTTGAAACTGTTTCTGCAAATAGTTACGCCAATGGTGTCATTCCTGGGCTTAGTATCTTAAAATTACCTGTACCTGAATTTATATTGGAAGTTAGACTATGGCAAATATATAAGGATGAGGGAAGAATCACATCAGTGTCTATTGATCTTTCGGTTGTTTTTGATTTGTTAACAGGTGCAATAGCCAATCATTTACAAGTTAGTTCAAATTGTTATGTTATCTCTGTAAGTGCTAAACGTAGTTTCTCTACACTGCAAAAAATTAAAAAACCGGCTAAGAACGCAAACGACAGAAAACAAACAATTCTGATTGGCTTTACAACATTGGCTGAAATCCACCATTTTGAATTATTTGAACTTTCATTTATTATTTTTTTATTATAAAAAAGTTACTTTTTTAATAATTAAACATTTATTTTTGATTTAAAAAATTTATGAGATTAAATTAGGAACTGACAAACCTATATTTTTAAATAAGCTATTAATGTTCTAAGATTTTTTCAAGTTTATCATATTAAATACATCACTTTGATTGTAAAAAATGAGTATACGAGTAGAAGTATTCTAGTAGGTATAGTAGTATACTAGTAGAGTTTAGGGTAGTAGGGATTTAGATTTCAAGGAGTATACTAGTAGGGTTTTCGATTTCAATAATAAAAGAGTGTTAGAAGACTTATTAGTAAAAAAAGTTAAAAGACTTATCAGTAAAAAAAAAATGGCTTCTGCATGAATTAGTTTCCACTTCGACTCTTTATTTACTAGGCAAATACCAATCTTTCAAAACAATAAAATAATTTTTCAAAATACATTTTTTTCTTTTTTGCTTTACTTTTACTCTTTACTGTTTATTATGTCTCTTGCTAAAGTTTAGAATCAGTTTAGCATTTTTTAAGTCAAACCATAATTTGTTGAAAATGGTGTACACAAAGCGAAGATTTAATTTTTGTTATATACATACATGTATTTAATATAAATTTTTTAATATAAAATACTATTAACTTTTATTTTATAGTCAAAATTCGTTATTCTTTGTTTTTGAAATATTTTTTTTATTTATATAAAATCTTTACAGCTTTTTATATTTTGGATTTTCTCGATTTCAAGTTGAGGAAATTTTAACAGCATATTTTAAAAATTTTATCACTTTGATTTATAAAATTTTGCTTTTTAAATCTTTCTTCTTTTAAGATTTATATTATTTCTTAGTTCAAATTAAACGTGGAATTTAAACGTTCAATTTAAACGTGGAGTTGTTATTATTATTAGATTTATTTTCAGTTTTGTATTATTCATATTAGTTTTTTCGTTCAAGTAAGGTTCAAGGGTGGAGAAATTGTCCAGAAGAAATGTTTTTAAAAATTATTCAAAACACACAAACAAAACCAACTCTTACCTAAACAAAAAGCAACTAAATTTAAAACTTTTTTTGTTTTGTTTTACAATAAGATAAGTAAAAAACATTATAAAGTTGTCAATCATAGTACACACTAAACTAACATTATTGCCATAGTTACCACTAATCCAATCCCAACAACTAGCAGTACAACAGGTTTGAAACAAGGCTTTCTAAGGAGTAATGTTTTTTTTTTACTCAGTGGATTTTATTATTTCTTCTTTCGACGCATGTAACATAAGCTCCATGTCACCTTGAACTTGCTCAGTCATATCTATATGCATGGTTTTAACATGGCGACCAGGTACCATAGCTAAACCTAAAATGCGCGGTTCTTCTGTTTTCTGCTCTCCTAAAAAAATAAAAATTATTGAGTTATTAAAACTTATGGAAACTTAAACTACACACAAAACGCGAAGGCACCTCCTTAGAAGATAAAAAAATTAATATTGCCATAGTTGGGATTTGCTTGGAGCTTGTTTTTAACATGCCACATTGAATTATTTAACATAAAAAACCCGTCGGCCTGAATTTTTTAAAATGTTTTTGTTAAAGTGAGTTTTAAGTTGAAAATAAATAAAGTGATAAAGTGAGGTAGTTATTGTTAAGGAGCTCATCTTTGATCTGCGTTAAGAAAGGAAACATTTTCTTTAAATTATCATTAAATGTGTTAAACCTCTTCTTACTATTCATATTTTGAATTTGATGTATAAATAGTTATAAAAACCTTAAATAACTTCTTATTAAAATAAATTGCAAAGCGTTATTTACAATATTTAGGGAAAAAAGACATTACAAGGCAAACAAAATTTGCGTAAAACGAGCGCATTTTCTTTGTCGTAGTTGAAAAATTTTTCGAAGTAATTTTTCTTTTTCTCTAATTGGAATTTTAAAAACCTTTTTTTGTTAATGTTTACGGTAATTTAATTCATTTCGTGTTTTATAGTTAAGTTTATTGAAGTTTTATTCATTTTGTTTTTTAACTATATTTTGGAAAAATTATTTATTAAACGTCTTTCAAATAACATTTTTCGAAAGAATTTTATTTGCTTTTTTTTAATATATAAACGCGTACACAAACGCTTACAAACCCCAAACGCGCGAAACTATCGTCAAACGCATATTGTACGCGCCAAACGCGTACGTATGGTCACCTTAGTGAAGCTGACTTTTCGTTTCTTTAAAAAGTATTAGTCAAAAAATCAAACAGTAATATTAAACATTATATCTTCTTTAAAACAGAAAAACACCTTATATGCTTAAGAACAGCAATAAATTATATCTTCTTTAAAACAGAAAAATACAATATCTCCTTAAGAACAGTAATACATACGTTTTCTTTAAAACAGAAAAACATCTTATCTCCTTAAGAAAAGTAATATAATATATCTTCTTAAAAACAAAAATGCACCTTATCCTATGAAGAATAGAAAAACACATCATGTAAGAACTGAAATTTTTTTCTAATAAACAGTAATTTTATCTTTTTTAAAGTCAAGATAATTAAAAATAATTCAAGTATATAAAAGTTTAAAACTATGTTTTTAAATTAATAGATTTTAGCATTAAATAGTTTTCCTCGCATACAATTTTTTTTTAAAACTGTTTTTAAAATCATTGTTAAATATATATATTTTACAATAATTCTGAATCTTGTAATAAAAATAATTATACAAATATATTAAAGAATAAAAGAAGATGAATGAAAATATATTTTAATAACATAGTAAATTATTTTACTAAAATACTTATAATAACTTATAATAACTTATAAAATAAATACTTATAATAACTTATAAAAAACTTATAATAACTTGAAACAATTAAAAAACCTGTAAAAAAATACAGTCAACATAATTAACATAGTCAACAAAATAACTGATTAATAAAAAAATGATATTGTTAACATAATAAGGCTTTTTAAAATGAATTTGTCACAAAAAATCCAAGTTCAAAAAAAATTCCTAGAAGCAAACAACTAATTCGAAAACAAATTATTATTATTTGGTTTTTAAATGTTGTTGATAAAAGCAGATATTTCCTAATCTTTTTCTCATAGGTTTTCTGGAAAGTGAAATTTTTTACATACTCATATGTTTTCACACACTAATAAATTTTGTATTTTGCAGTTGATGTTTTGATGTTAGTAGTTCTTGTTTTATATCAGTATGTATAAATAATTTTGTTTTTTATTCTATTTTTTATATAGATATATTTTTGCTTTTTTATTTTTGTCTGGACAAAAAAAAAATTTTAAAAACTAATTGAGTGTGTGACTTTTAGCGAACTTTTATATTCAAAACTTTTTAGGTCAAAATTTTTCAAGGTTATTAATTGCTATTAATTTTAAATCCAAAAATTAAAAAACGTTTTGTCATAAAAATTCTCAATAACCATGGGGTTTTTCAAAAGGCCATGGAGTTTAAAAAAAAGTTGAAGGTTCTCAAAAACCATGGGTTTCCTCAAAAAACCATGGGGATTCTAAAAAAATTATGTGGTTTCTTAAAAATCCATAGGGTT